CTTGAGCAGAGAGTTATAATAATAATAATAATAATAATAATAATAATAATAATAATAATAATAATAATAATAATAATAATAATAGTAAAGTTGGAAGGGACCTTGGAGGTCATCTAGTCCAACCCCCTGCTCGGGCAGGAAACTCTACACCATTTCGGACAAATGGCTGTCCAGTCTCTTCTTAAAAACTTCCAGTGTTGGAGCATTTACTGCTTCTGGAGGCAGGCTGTTCCACTGATTAATTGTTCTCACTGTAAGGAAATTTCTCCTTAGTTCTAGGTTGCTTCTCTCCTTGATTAGTTTCCACACATTGCTTCTTGTCCTGCCTTCAGGTGCTTTGGATTAGAAGACCTCCAACTCTGTTATTTTGTTATTCTATCAGCCTGGGACTACAAAATCTAAAGGAAGTAGAATCCAATTACGAAAGATTGCTCTGTTGAGTGGATTTTCTGCTTATGCCAATAAAACAATAATGGCCAATGCAATATATCGTAGGCTGTCCTAAAGGTAAATTTCTAAAAAAAAAGAAAAAAAAGAGAGAGACAAGATTCACATCTAATACATACGTAAATAATAAAATATGGCTTGTTCAAGGTAAATTATGGGTACGTATGCAGGAGGTTCTGCAAAATGCAGTAGACTGATGGATCTCTTACGTTGCTTCCCATTTTATGTTCACTTCTGAGGAAAGAATATCCAGATTTTAATTCTCTGTTTGTTAGCCAGGCTTGTAAATAATACTTGCAGTCCAGTTATTCTCCTTTTCCTACTTGTTAAAAGTGACTCCAATGTAAAACGCCTGCATTTTGATATTGGGGAGGTGGGTGTGGTTATGCAACTACACAAAAATAAAAACCCATACTCTTAGGATATTAAATTTAGTAGCTGGAACAGAAAAATGTACAATGGGCCATAATACACAATTGTAGTTGATTGCTTGGAAACTGATTCATGCATGATGCAGTCTGCTGACCCATGCATGATGCAGTCTGCTGACTCATGCACGATGCAGTCTGTGCTGTGATTGGTTGCTGTAGGTAAGAAGGGGGAGTATCCCTTTTTTCCCGCCTTTTTCTTCGATGGTGTTCTGTACACTGTTTATTTTTTTTACCACATGGTATTCCCGTGTTGCTATCTTGCCTGCTTTACATATACATGTAAAATACATCTATTCATATAAAAATACAAGTTCGTGTCAGTGTCCCTGACTTCATTTAGACACCTGGTGTGTGCAATTCCCTGACACGTGCAAAATGCATGTTAAACAGATCCCATTTCCCAAAAGTCTTGTGGGTGTTTCCTTGGTTTACTACGCAAAATGTTACCAGAGTTATCCGAGCAGAAGAAGAGATAAGCTAATAACCTAAAGAAAGATGGCGGTTTCTCCTGCTTTGCAGATGCCCATCCCCCACTTTCAACATCTTTTCAAGGTGGAGCACCTGGAAGGGACATGAAACTAATCAAGGAGAGAAGCAACCTAGAACTAAGGAGAAATGTCCTAACAGTGAAAACAATTGACCAGTTGAATGGCTTGTGGGTGCTCCATCACTGGATGCTTTGAAAAAGAGACTGGACAACCGTTTGTCTGAAAGGGTATAGAGCAGTGGTTCTCAACCTGTGGGTCGGGACCCCATTTGGGGTCGAACGACCATTTCACGGGGGTCGCCAAACAACGCAGTCCGCCATTTTTTCCCCCCTTTTCCTTAGCTACTCCCTTTTATTCTATTGCTTTTGAAAGCCTAGACTCTCCTTTCTATTCAATAGGAATTGTCCATGAGCCTGTCCCATTCTGCAAACTGCTGCACCAGTTGAGTAACTTACGATTGGTTGAGCAGTCCTCGACTTACGACCGGTTGGGGGTCGCGGCATTAAAAAGGTTGAGAGCCACTGGTATAGAGTCTCCTGCTCGAGCAGGGGGCTGGACTAGAAGACCTCCAAGGTCCCCTCCAGCTCTGTTATTCTGTTATGCTTTTAAGGATGCTTAAAACCTCCTGCAAAAGGCTGAATTTTTCAAAGGGTTGAGGGCAACAAAGGCTGGACTCCAGCCTATGCAAAGGGGTGTCTTTCTGTCTGTCTGTCTGTCTGCCTCTTCTTTCTTCTTCCATCCTTGCTCCTTTGGATTTGAGCCATCTCTTGAATGGCCCCCCTGCCCAGTTTCCAGGGAGGCCTACAAATTGCCTGAATGTAACAGAGACGTGAACCTAAGATGCCTTTGATTTCTCCTGGAGGGTGGGTTTCTCCCCCTCCCCCCCAAATTTCCTTCCGGCCATCCAGTTCTCTCTCCCTCCCCATTTTGCATTGTCTTCTGTCATTTCTTCCCCTCCCCTTCTAGTTTGCACAGCATTCAGACACCAGAGGAGCTGGAAGCAGAGCCAGAGGGGGCTGGAGTGTGTGTGTGTGTGTGTGTGTGTGTGTGTAGTGGATGAATGAGCGTAGCAGGGATGAAAGCTTTGACTTCTGATTTGGGGAGGGGAGCAGAGAGGAGGGGTTGCGGAATAGGTTGAGATGGAAGGCAAGCCTCTTGCACTCAGCTGGGACCGATCATTGGTTAGGCCCTGGATTGGAGGATTTAGGAGCAATTCTTAGAGGTAGAAACAAACAAAGCAATGCATGCTGGTTTGGAAATGAATAGTCACTTAAATAGGAGCCAGCCGTGTGCTGCAGTTGCCAAAAAAGCCAACACAGTGCTAGACTGCAGTAAAAGAGGGACAGAATCAAGATCACGTGAAGTGTTAATACCACTTTACAATGCCTTGGTAAGGCCACACTTGGAATACTGCATCCAGTTTTGGTCGCCGCGATGTAAAAAAGATGTTGAGAGTTTAGAAAGAGTATAGAGAAGAGCAACAAAGATGATCAGGGGACTGGAGGCTAAAACATATAAGGAACGGTTGTTGGAATTGGGTATGTCTAGTTTAATGAAGAGAAGGACAAGGGGGGACATAATTGCTGTGTTCCAATATCTCAGGGGCTGCCACAAAGAAGAGGGAGTCAAGCTATTCTCCAAAGCGCCTGAGGGCAGCACAAGAAGCAACCGGTGGAAACTAATCAAGGAGAGAAGCAACCTAGAACTAAGAAGAAATTTCCTGACAGTTAGCACAATTAATCAGTGGAACAACTTGCCTCCAGAAGTTGTGAATGCTCCAACACTGGACGTTTTTAAGACGAGATTGGACAACCATTTGTCTGAAATGGTATAGGGTTTCCTGCCTGAACCGGGGGGTTGGACTAGAAGACCTCCAAGGTTCCTTCCAACTTTGTTATTATGTTCTGTTCTGATCTGTTCTGTTTGGAATGGCAAAGCAGGTGGCTTGGCCTTACAGTTGCCTGGCAATTTGCACCCCTCTTTTTGCATTTTACGGCTAATTAGAGGTAGTCTCAACTTACAACAGTTCATTTAATGAGTGTTCAAAGTTCCAACAGCACTGAAAAAAGCAACTTACGACCATTTTTCACAGTTACCACCTTTGTAGCATCCCCACGATCACATGATCAAAATTCAGATGCTTGGACACTGGTTCACACACACGACCACTGCTGTGTCCTGGGTCATGGGATCCCCTTTTGTGACCTTCTGACGAACAAAGTCAGTGGGGGAGCCAGATCCACTTCACAACAGGGTTACTCACTTATCACCTGCAGCGATTCACTTAACGACTGTGGCAAGAAAGGTTGTAAAATAGGGCAAAGCTCACTTAACTAGTGTCTCACTTAGCAACAGAAATTTTGGCCTCAATTGTGGTCGTGTATTGAGGACTACCTGTTCCTGCCTTGAGCTCATTTTTTCAAACTGAGTCTCCAAGGAGAAAAAAGCAGGATATAGTCCAGCTCTTCTCTATAGATAGCTCCCCAGTGACTGCTCATAGTTGCAACTACTTCTTCTTCTTCTTCTTCTTCTTCTTCTTCTTCTTCTTCTTCTTCTTCTTCTTCTTCTTCTTCTTCTTCTTCTTCTTCTTCTTCTTCTTCTTCTTCTTCTTCTTCTTCTTCTTCTTCTTCTTCTTCTTCTTCTTCTTCTTCTTCTTCTTCTTCTTCTTCTTCTTCTTCTTCTTCTTCTTCTTCTTCTTCTTCTTCTTCTTCCTCTTCCTCTTCCTCTTCCTCTTCCTCTTCCTCTTCCTCTCCTCTTCTCCTCCTCTTCCTCTCCTCTCCTCCTCCTCCTTCTTCTCCTTCTTTCTTCCTCCTTCCTTCTCCCCCCTCTAATTGTCCTAAAAACAGGTTCCCCCCCCCTTCCTACACCTCATACTTTGCCAGTTCCACAGATGGACCACTTACTCTGGTTAACGAAGGCAGAAGTACCAATAAAAGAAAATATCTGTAGCTCCGGGTTGAAATGCGGGGTCCTTGGTGCACTCTGAGCTTGGGTGTTTTCTTGCAGACATTTCATTACCCAAACTAGGTAACATCATCAGTATTAGGCAGAGGTTGATTCTACATTTACCATTCCATTTTGTGTAGTGACAACCCCTCCCTCCCAACCCCCCCCCTTACTAAATGTCTTTTTGTTGGCTCCAATACAGAGAGAAGTTCTATTACCTTGTTTGGGTAATATGAGTATTGGGAAGTTTGTAATTAAAAATAAATAAATAAAGATAGGGTTGGTTGAGCACATCCTTCTTGACCCAAAAGGAAACAAGGAATGAAAACTTCAAACAGGTGGAGGGAGATTTCTTTCTCTTTCTTTGTATTTTTATGTCTGGAGCCAGACTATTAACCAGATCTTCACTTCAGAAAAGGTGAGGTGACCCTCGGAGAACTGTTAAGAGGTTTATCTACCGAGACAAAATATTTTCCCTATTAATGATTAGCAATAACTTTTGGCGCTTGTGGGAAAACTTTAATTAAACTCTTCAGTCCATGGTGATTTAATTAGGGTTAGGATCTCCAGTCTCCCCAGGGATGGAGATCCCTCTTGTATCTTTTTCATGCTGGAAAAAATGTCATGTCCAGTTCTTTCTTTCAAGAAAGTCTACATAAGGGTGAAGGTTAAGATCAGACAGAGTACCAAAAAAAGCTATCACTTAGCCAAGGGAAGGTGGCAACTGGTTTTTAAGTTTATCCATCGAGGTGTCTAACCCAACTCTTTCACTCTTTAATGCTGGCTGAACTGACCCTCAGCAAAACTGTGAGTATTTGCTTGTAATATATTTGGGAACAATAGTTGTAAGGATAAGTAAAAGGTTTGAAAGACTGGGAAACAGGCTAACACGTTTCCTGCAGTCAGGTGCCTAAGATATTGGGACTGAAATTCCCAGAATTAGCCCAGAACTCTAGGACCTGTTGCCAGCATATCTACAAAGTATAAGATGATGGAAGGCTTAATTAAAATAAGACAATTAGAACACAGGAAATTATTTTAAACTAAAACTTGTGGTGTCTGATCGGGCCAATGCTGCTTGTTTTGAACTGGTGATAGATCTTAAGGGATTCCTTTCTCATTCTAAATATCTGAATAAGTCCAGAATGTATGTGTAATGTGTATGTGTATATGTACTGTGTTTTCCCCAAAATAAGACCCAGCTGGAAAATAAGTCCTACCATGATTTTTCAGGACGCTCGTAATATAAGCCCCACCCCAAAAATAAGCCTCAGTTAAGACTGTCAGCCAGACAGATGCATTTAGTACAGTATTTTCCCGAAAATAAGACCTAACCAGAAATTTTTTGGAGCAAAAATTAATGTAAGACCTGGTCTTATTTTGGGGGAAACACAGTATATGTCCAGTATATGTATATGTACAGTATATGTATGTGTACAGTATGTGTGTGTGTGTGTGCGTGTGTGTGTGTGTATACACACACACACACACACACACAGTGTATATATGTACAGTATAGGCATATGTGCACGTATTGAGAAGCAGAAAAAAGCTTGTGAAAACCTAAGAAATTCCAAAGTGGGATGTAAACATTGCTAATCTGTTTTTTTATAAGCTGCCCAGAGGCACTAAGAGTGAGTGGGTGGCCATATACATTTCTAAACAAACAAACAGATGCATCATTATTTTTCTAAATATGCCCTTCAGCTTCAGAAATAAGGGTGGGAAACAAAGTGTCAAAAAAACAACAACTCTAGAGCTGTAAACTGTTGCACAGGGGTGTCAAACTGCCAGCCCATGGACCGGTTGCATCAGTGCCCACCCCAGCTCTGACAATGGAAAAAAAAAGTTGCGATACGTCGCGACATGTCACAAGATGCGGCGAGTTTGACACTCGTGCTGTATGTGAAGTGGAGTTAAACATTTAAGTTCAGCTTTTAGAGTGGTGGAGTACTGAACATCAATTAATCGATTAAATTGAGATAGACAGCAGACACAATAAAAAGAGAGAAATTTAAACAATTCTAAGCCTGAGGCAGGAATCAGTATGTCTAAGGGACAAAGCCTGAAGTTGTGTCCTCAACAGGCAACCTTGAGAAAGCAGAGTCTTGATTTCAATTACATATCAATATTAAACAACTGAACAACCCATCTTGTAGATATGTATGATGAACATATCACATCTTTTGAAATAATGAGGCTATCTGCAGAAAATAGAATAGAATAGAATAGAATAGAGTAGAGTAGTAGAGTAGAACAGAACAGAATAATGATTAGAAACAGAAGTAGAGTAGTAGAGTAGAACAGAAAAGAACAGAATAGAATAGAGTAGAACAGAGTGGAACAGAACAGAGTAGAGTAGAACAGAACAGAATAGTGATTAAGATGATAAGATAACCTTTATTGTCATTTGTTTTACTGTGGGCACAATGGCACACATCAAAAATGAAATTTAGTTGCCTGCTCTCAAAGTGAAACATATACATGACACACACCTAAACATACTATGTACAACATATGTATAGACCCATACCCCTACATATACATAAGAATAAATATTAAATACTGTCCATCTTGAATATATAACGGAAGGAGGAAGCTTGTGAATTCAACAAGGTTAGTGCTGTATGGAATGAAACTATGGCTGAATCTGGATGTTCTGCTTCGGATACCACGAAGCCTCCTCCCAGAAGGTAACAAGGAAAACAGAATGGAATGGAATGGAATAGAATAGAATAGAATAGAATAGAATGGAATGGAATGGAATGGAATGGAATGGAATGGAATGGAATGGAATGGAATGGAATAGAATAGAATAGAATAGAATGGAATGGAATGGAATGGAATGGAATGGAATAGAATAGAATAGAATAGAATAGAATAGAATAGAATAGACAGAGTTGGAAGGGACCTTGGAGGTCTTGTAGTCCAATCCCTAGCTCAAGAGGAGATCATTTCAGACAAGTGACTATCCAGTAGCTTCTTAAAAGCCTCCAGTGATGGAGCACACACAACCTCTGAAGGCAAGCTGTTCCACTGTTTGACTGTTCTCACTGTCAGGAATTTTTTCTTCAGTTCTAGATTCTGTGTAGGTTTTTATCCCTCGACTGACTTGCAGGCATGAAGCACTGAATGAATATATATTGTAGACAGCGCATGAACAGTTGGAAAGAAGGGAGGATCAATGAAATAAATCAGGTTGCACTATATTTCAGTAAATACTTATCTTTGATGAAGGCAGTAACATCTTATTCTGCTTCTGAAATATATTTCCTGTCTACTATTGAAGGAAGGAAGTGGGTATGGTGATACGTTAGCAGAGAGGAAGGGTTTATATGGACATAATTCGTCCGGGTACAAATGTTCAGATTTTAGAAGGCTTTTATCATCTCTTCTCTCTTTAGGTTGAATGGGTGGACTTCTTCGTTCCCCATTGCAATGGAAGGCCTCAACCAGACAGTGACCCATTTCGTGTTCTCGGGACTGACCAATAACCGGAGCCTGGAGCTGGTTTTATTAGTTGTTTTCTCCATCCTCTACTTACTTATCCTAGTGGGCAACCTCCTCATCATAGTGACAGTGGCTTGTGACCGCTGCCTCCACACCCCCATGTACTTCTTCTTGGGGAACCTCTCTTTCATTGACATCTGTCATTCCTCTGTCACAATGCCCAAGATGCTTTTTGACTGCTTCTTCCACCAGAAAGTCATTTCTTTTGGGGGCTGCATCACCCAACTCTTCTTTCTTCACTTGTGTGCTTCAGCGGAGATCTTCCTTCTGACCATCATGGGCTATGACCGTTGTGTTGCCATCTGCTACCCTTTGCAGTATGTAAACCTGATGAACATGAAGATCTGCGCGTGCCTGATTGGCACTTTGTGGGTGGGGGCAACTATCCATTCCCTGATCCAGACTGTCCTCACCATTCATCTCTCTTACTGTGGCCCTAATGTCATAGACAGTTTTTTTTGTGATATTCCTCCACTCATGAAGTTAGCTTGCACGGATACCTACTTTATTGGGGTTCTCATAATATCCAGCAGTGGTCTGATGTCCCTACTTTGTTTCGTGATCTTGATAGCTTCTTATGCCATCATCCTTATCTCACTGAAAGGGCAGACAGCTGAGGGTCGTCACAAAGCCTTCTCCACATGTGCTGCCCACCTACTTGTGGTGGTCTTGTTCCTGGGACACTGTATTTTCATCTATACTCGCCCTGCTTCCAGCTTCCCAACAGACAAACTGGCTGCTGTCCTTTACACAATGGTGACCCCTTTCCTCAACCCTGTGATCTACACCTTGAGGAACAAAGAGGTAAAGCATTCCATTAAGAAACTCTGGAATCAGAGGCAGATCTTGGCCAGGAGATGAGTTGGCCATCTTCCTTGTGTAGAACAAAATAAGTCAGCGTATGGAAAGAGACAATTTTACGGAAAGATTGATTATGTTCAGGCAGATGAGATATCTTAGTTTTGTACAAGAAGCCCATTCTTCTGTATCTGGAGACCTAAGAAGCCTGCTAAGTTTCCATATGAAGGTGCTGTAATAAGTGGACAATTCAATATTTCATCCCTTTGGGACATGGACAAGCTAACTGACTAAAGACTATCATGCAAACAGTTGGTGGCAAAAGCTTTAAACTAGGATCCTACATTGCCTTGAAGATGGATTGGATTTGTCTCTATAGGTAAGAGAGAGGGAAGAGGCAGAGATAAGAGACCAAAGAAATTACTGAACGAAGAACATATTTTGGTTTTGGTTTTTTTTGCCAACCAAAGAAAATGAACGACTTTGGGTGCTGAACACAATCTTCAGTTTTAACCACTGGACAAAAAGCAACATTATTGGCTTTTAGTAGCTGTGGTCCAAAAAGTTGTATTTTAATGTATTAATGCACTGTGATATAATTCTATGTAATATTGATTTACATATTTACAGTATGATTATTTATAATTGGGCCAACTGCTTTTTAAAATTAGGTTTGCTTGTTTGACATGTATTCCCACCAGAATCCAACAACTGTTGACGACTTTCATACTGTACAATATAATAAATATTTTAAGAATCTATGGTCTAAGCAGAAATACTGATGATGTTACCTAGTTGGGTCATGAAACTTCTCCAAGGAAACAACCAAATTCAGAGAACACCAAAGACCAACACCAACACCTCCTCCTCCTTCTCCTCCCCCCTGCAAACCCACTACCCCAGCGGTTCTCAACCTGTGGGTCGCGACCCCATTTGGGGTCGAACGACCGTTTCACGGGGGTTGCCAAACAACACAGTCCGCCATTTCCCCCCCTTTTCTTAGCTGTGCTACTCCCTTTTATTCTATTGGCTTTTGAAAGCCAATAGAATAGACTTTCTTGAATAGAGTCTAATTCTATTGGCTTTCAAAAGCCAGTAGGAATTGTCCAGGCTGTCTCTGCCCTGCTGAGCCTGCCAAAAGTCCCATTCTGCAAACAGTGCAGCAAGTTGTCTGCAGCGAAGGCGAGCTGTCTCGAAGCTTCCACCCCTCCCTGCTGAGCAATTACTAAAAATGTAAGTAAAAGAGGGCCAGGGGTGGGAGGTGGGAGGCCGGTGGGCGCAGGGAGGGCTGCTGGCCCGTGTGGGGCCTGGCGGGTGCCTTACCTCCCTTGGGCTGGGCCAGCTGGTGGCCCAGCCAGTGGTTGGCCTGCTCTGTCTCTGCCGCTTGCCAGCTACGCCTCGGCTGGCGCAGGGGGCGGCACCACACATGCGCAGCGCTCCCGGGCAGGGAAAGTCCTCGACTTACAACCGGTTGGGCAGTTCTCAACTTACGTCTGGTTTAGTCCTCGACTTACGACCGGTTGAGTAGGCCTCGACTTACGACCAGTTGGGGGTCACGGCATTAAAAAGGTTGAGAACCGCTGCACTACCCTCTAGCACTGATGGTGTTACCTCCTTGTGTCATGAAATTTCTGCAAGAAAACAACTAAGCTCAGAGAGCATCAAGGACCCCACAGTCTTCCTCCTCCTCTCCACAAATCCCACTCCCTTCTAACCCTGATGATGTTACTTAGTTGGGTCATGAAACATCTGCAAGAAAACAACCAAGCTAATAGAGCACAGAGGACCCCCACAGTTCATTCCTGAGCTACAAATATTTTCTTCTATCAATATTCTAACTTTCATTGGCATCTTGGATAGCAGACAAAATGTGTTGACCTCTTAACTGGGCAGTGTATGGGGGTGGTGGGGGTGGTGGAGAAGAGATTATGATGAGGCTGATTGGCAGTTAATAGCAATTTTGTATTTATTATCTGAGCAACTACTAATAAATGTCGATCGCTTAGTTCAGGGGTCTTCAAGCTTGGCCCCTTTATGACTTGTAGACTTCAACTCCCAGAATTCCTCAGCCAGTGAACCTGGTTTCACCCATTTACTTTGCTCAGAAGCCATTTGGGAAAGTTGGGACACCGCAAAAGGTTGTGAGTAATGCCAGTTGCCAAATTTTGACCACTTGACCATGGGGGTGCTGCAATTGGTTGAATGCGTGAAAAAACTGGTCACGTCACTTTTTCCAGTGCCGTTATAACTTTGAACGGCCACTAAACAAATGGCTGTAAGCAACTCGTGACATTTAAATATCCTTTTTTAGCTCTTCATGGCTGCTCTATCCTGTGTTAGTTTGCACCGTATCACTTGCTGTTCCTTCCAGTTGATGGTGGATCCCAAAATGCAGAAGCTATAATGAAGATACCTTCATTATCATTTCTAAGGCTGGTTGCTCTCCTTTAATGAACTCATTAATCAAAGAGATTCCTATTGCTCTTTCCAAGACTCTATAACATACTACCCATTTGTGCATTGAAGACAGGGAATTTTTGCTCCAGACTTAGGCTATGACATAGGGCTAACATACACAATGAAACATGGTTCAGTTAAGTGGAGGAAAAAGTGCAAAGAAGAGCAACAAAAATGATCAGGGGACTGGAGGCTAAAACATATGAAGAACAGTTGCAGGAATTGGGTCTGTCTAGTTTAATGAAAAGAAGGACCAGGGTCTAGAAAGAGTATAGAGAAGAGCAACAAAGATGATCAGGGGACTGGAGGCTAAAACATATAAGGAACGGTTGTTGGAATTGGCTATGTCTAGTTTAATGAAGAGAAGGACAAGGGGGGGACATAATTGCTGTGTTCCAATATCTGAGGGGCGGCCACAAAAAAGAGGGAGTCAAGCTATTCTCCAAAGCACCTGAGGGCAGGACAAGAAGCAACGGATGGAAACTAACCAAAGAGAGAAGCAACCTAGAACCAAGGAGAAACTTCCTGACAGTTAGAACAATTAATCAGTTGAAACAATTTGCCTCCAGAAGTTGTGAATGCTCCAACACTGGAACTGTAACAACAACAACAACAACAACAACAATAATAATAAAAGTTGGAAGGGAGCTTGGAAGTCATCTAGTCCAACCCCCTGATCAGGCAGGAAACCCTATACCATTTCAGACAAATGGCTGTCCAGTCTCTTCTTAAAAACTTCCAGTGTTGGAGCATTCACAACTTCTGGAGGCAGGTTGTTCCACTGGTTAATGGTTCTAACTGTCAGGAAGTTTCTCCTTCGTTCTAGGTTGCTTCTCTGTTTGATTTGTTTCCATCTGTTGCTTCTTGTCCTGCCTTCAGGCACTTGGAAAATAGCTTGACTCCCTCTTCTTTGTGGCAACCCCTAAGATATTGGAACACTGCTATCACGTCACCCTTCGTCCTTCTCTTCATTAAACTAGACATACCCAATTCCTGCAACTGTTCTTGATATGTTTTAGGCTCCAGTCCCCTAATCACCTTTGTTGTTCTTTTCTGCGTTCTTTCTAGACTCTCAATATCTTTAGTACTGAGAGTAGTAACAGTTGCTACTATTAAGCAAGGTACCACCTGTACTATACCTGTGCATTTGGCTTTTCTTGCCTAAATGTAGAACCTTACTTTTTTCATCATTGAATTTCATTTTGTTAGAATATAATAGAATAGAATCACCTTTGTTGTTCTTTTCTGCATTCTTTCTAGACTCTCAATATCTTTTTTACATTATGGTGACCAAAACTGGATGCAGTATTCCAAGTGTGGCCTTACCAAGGCATTGTAAAGTGGTATTAACACCTCACGTGATCTTGAGTCTATCCCTCTGTTAATGCAGCCTAGCACTGTGTTGGCTTTTTTGGCAGCTGCAACACACTGCTGGCTCATATTTAAGTGATTGTCCACTAGGACTCCAAGTATTATTATCCTTCTAACAGTTGCTACTATTAAGCAAGGTATCCCCTGTACTATACCTGTGCATTTGGTTTTTCTTGCCTAAATGTAGAACCTTACTTTTTTCATCATTGAATTTCATTTTGTTAGAATAGAATAGAATAGAATAGAATAGAATAGAATAGAATAGAATAGAAAAGTTGGAAGGGACCTTAGAGGTCTTCTAGTCCAACCCCCTGCTCAGGCAGGAAATCCTATAACATTTCAGACAAATTGTCCAAACTGGTTTATTCAGAAAGAGTCAATTCCAAATTGACCTGTGTTCTTTATTTGCAGTGAACCTCTGAATGTCATTATGGACTTATGCCTTCTGGTACAATTAATTTTGCCCATTAATTCTTACCAAACTTTGCTTCAAACTTCTGATACTCTTGGGGAATTTTTAATTAAAGATTCAAGCTCCGTGGTGTATTAATTACAGTTAGGATCTCCAATCTCCCAAGATCTTCCCTTTTTTTCGGTCCTCCTTGAGTTTCCAAGATACCTGGAATGTAATTCATCGCTTACTTTCACAGAATCTAAGGTTTTATAAAAGAGAAAGAGCCAAGATCAGATGGTGCTTACGAAAACCATCTCCCCAGCTAGCTGAAAAAAAAACAAAGATGGACAAAGAAGAACTCCTAAAGCTTTCTGTGTGATCTTCACGTTTCTTACCATGTCAGGTAAACCCACTCTCTTTCTTACAACAATTTAAATCTGAATCATAAAGTTATATATTAATAAGCAGATTTTTGATCACTTATGGGAAAAGAAAGGTGAATGCAAGCAAGACCTTGGAGGTCTTCTAGTCCAGTTCTCTGCTCAAGCAGGAGATCCTATACCATTTCAGACAAGTGATGATTCAGTCTTTTCTTAAAAACTTCCAGGGATGAAGCACCCACGGCTTCTGGTGGCAAACTGTTCCACTGGTTAATTGTCCTTGCTGTTAGGAAGTTTCTCCTTTATTCCAGGTTGCTTCTCTCCTTGATTAGTTTCCATTCATTGTTACTTGTCCTGCCCTCTGGTGCTTTGGAAAATAAATTGACCCCCTCACCTTTGTGGCAGCCTCTCAAATACTGGAATACTGTTATCGTGTCCTCCCCTAGTCCTCCTTTTCTCTAGACTAGCCAAACCCAAATAGTTATGACTAGCCAAACCCAAGTTGTTATGGGTCATAGATTAATATTAGAATAACAGAGTTGGAAGGGACCTTGGAGGTCATCTAGTCCAACCCCCTGCTCCTGTTTCCAGGATGGCTTCGCGGGCCACATGAAACCATTTCGCGGGCCGCTTCCGGCCCTCGGGCCTTGTGTTTGACATGTCTACCCTAGGGATTAATGATAGTTGATGGCTTAGCCCAGCATACAAACCCAGCTAACCATGTCTGTTAACAAACAGTGGTTCGAACAAACCACATATAATGGATTGGTTTCTTCCTCTATCGCACTCAATCAAAAACGAAGCAGATCATTATCGGGCTCAGGGACATGTATGAACCCAGACTGGAAACATCTTGAAAAAGACACATCTCTTTTTAAAGACATGAGATTTTGGCACCACGATAATGAAACTCATGTCTTGATGAAGAAGGAATCAGAGTTATAGAGTAATTTGGAAGAAGATTCAACAGAATTTGGAAGAGCCCTTCCAAGGTTCAGCAGAAACAAAGACAGCTTAGACAGCACAGAGAAGGTAAATCCTGCCTATGACTTGTACGTTTACATGTCCTTTCCCATTCATGAAAGTCTGTTCATGGCCACTACGTAGGTTCCAGAGTTGTTCAAATTACCCCAGAGACTTTCTTTTTCCATATTACAGTTTTTATTAATTTATAATATAAAATGCAAATAGATGAGCAAAAGCAAATAGTAGGAAAAATAAGGGAGGGAAAGGGGAAAGGAAAAGTGTAGAAAAGAAGGGAGAAAACAGCAAAAAAAAAAGGTGTTGACTGTTGACTGCCTCTGGTGCAGTAAAATAAGACAATAACATCAAATCTCAACTTTTTTACTTTAACACAATCGTATAAACTAGCTACTTCTATAAAAACAAATCTATCTAATCAGTCAAAGCCAAAATCAAAGTTTAATTTTTTTCCAACTCAAGCACAAAGTCCAGAAGCGGTTTCCAAGTAGAAACAAAAGTAATTGTGTTTTTTTTCCCCCCTTTGATAAAGCAATCAAGTTAGCCAGCTCTGCTAGCTCCGTCAACTTTTGCAGCCATTCCTCAATTTCTACACCTACACACTTGGAGATGTTTTGAGCAAACTTTATTATTTCTCTTTGTTTAGGTTGAATGTATGGACTTCCATCTGTCCTGTTCCAATGGCGGAGCCGAACCAGACAGTGACCCATTTTGTGTTCTTGGGACTGACTGATAATCGGAGTCTGGAGCTGTTTCTATTTCTCATCTTCTTCATCATCTACCTGCTTACCTTAGTAGGAAACCTCTTGATTGTGGTGACAGTGGCTTGTGACCGATGCCTCCACACGCCCATGTACTTCCTTTTGGGAAATCTGTCCTTTCTTGACATCTGCCATTCCTCTGTCACGGCACCCAAGATGCTCCTGGACTCTGTCTTCAGGCAGAAGATCATCTCCTTCGGAGGCTGTGTGGCACAATTCTTCTTCCTCCACATCTGTGCCTCTGCTGAGATCTTCCTCCTGACCATCATGGCCTATGACCGCTGCGTTGCCATCTGCTATCCATTACAGTATGTGACTCTTGTGAATCTGAAGATCTGTGTGTGCTTGGTGGGTGCTCTGTGGATCGGGGGCATCATCCATTCTCTGGTCCAGACTGTCCTTACCCTTCGCC